AGTACTCCACCTGTCCCACCCCGGGGATGCCATTTGAGGCCAGGGTCTTGGCCCTTTGCTTGCTGCCCACTCACGTTCCTGTTGCAGGCAGTCAAAGCGCACCTTAGTGAAGGAGTCAAAGGGCACTTGGAACTTGTCTGTGTTGATTGATGAGAAGTAGTGAAATCCTCCACTACCTAAAAAAATGACCGCCCCACAAAAACAAACAAACAAACAAACACACACTGTTATTGTTTTGTTTAAAAAGAAGAAAAGAGAAATTGCTGAGACAGACATATTGACTATAAGTTTATTATAAGGGCCGGTAGAATGGGGAGACTAAGAAGAGGAACAGGGTAATGGCTGACCGCCATGGCCGTTCGCCATAGAGAGACAGAGAGAGCGCACAGAGCGCGGGACAGAGGAACAGAGCGGGACAGAGAAACAGAGAGAGAGGAGACAGGAGACAGAGAGAGAGAGAGAAAGAGAGAGAGGGGGGGAGGGGGGAGAGAGAGAGAGAGAGACAGGGAGAGAGAGCATAAAGGTGCAGGGGCCTATCTTTTAAAGGGGTCCTCTGCACCTGCGTGCAGACTTCTTTCCCATGGAACCTTGGGCTGACCAGGGTATTGCCTGAGTGGATTCCACCAGGTAACAGGGGCAGGGCAGCATAATGCCTGAACCTTTCACACACCCCAGGTGTGCTGGCGCTTTAATCCTCAGAGCTGGCACTGTAGAGAAAGCATAGTGGGAGGGACCTCATTCAGCTGGGTTCCGGACTGAGATTTAAACACATGACTACGGTAGTGCTTAGCCTGGGCAGACTCCTCCACCTCAAAAAGTCCACACCTATAGTATGAGAGAGAGATTGAATACATTTTATATCTCAGAACACATACTCTCTTTAAATATTGTATCAGAAACTGAATTTTTTTTCAACATAGCCAGCATTTGACCTTAAAAATTCCTACAGAAAAAATATGAACAAAGCCAAAACCTTACTCTTAACACCCAAGAAACTTGTTTAAATTATTGAAAAAATAATTTTAGGGTTTCCCTGTAATAAAAACATATATTTTGCTTAAAAACTGTTTTAGATGAGACAGTTATAGAAATTTTTTCAGAGCCCAGAGTTTGAGGACATTGCCTTGGATGCAGAAGTCATCACTGAGGCTGGCATCTAGTAAATGAATATACTAGAGTAAACCCCAATGAACTCTGCCATTGACTTAAGGAACAATTGTATGTCATTGTCTCTCTTTCTCTCTGGATGTAAGTTTTATTAAAACATGCTGTATGTTAGTGTCACCTGACTTCACAATGGCTGAATGTCCTTGGTTTTAAGTGTCACTTAGCACATGTGAAACGATTAAAACTCACGCACAGCTAGAAGGGCTCACTGCACGCGCAGGTCCGTGAGCGCTGGTGTTTGGCTGTGTAGGAGAACAGCACCTCAGGTGGAGTCTACAGCAGCTCCTTTTCCTGAAGGCTCGTGCACCTCAGAATCTGTGTTAATATGTGCTTACTGGTTAGCATATCAGTGAACACTGATAATCTTACCTGCTCCTTCTGCCTATTCTGTGGATAAGGAAACCGAGTCCAGTCATTACTTAGCTCTTAGATTCTAGTCTGTGTAGCAGCCATGGCAATGACCATCAGTCCCTGCTGGCTCACTTTTGTTTTATTCCTTCACACCTCTTCTGAAGTTGGAGTCTGTCTCATGAATGTTCAGTTTTTGTTTGCTTGGTGTGTATCTGCACAAATATAAACATTACACAGTGCTGCTTGCTTTGTGATGTAATTACAAGAGTCATCCTCAGTAAATGGAGCCTGGTCCTTTTACTTTTAAAGTCATTTATTGAAAGGACAGTAGATGCGGCTTCATGATAGAGTGCTTGTTTAGTTTCCTACAGTTCTGGGTTCAGTCCCTGGCACTGCACACGCAAAGGCCTGATTGTATATTTAGGTTTTACTGCATAAGGATATGCAAACCTACTACATTTTAAATGTCTCTAAGATTACAGCATGTGTGTATTCCTTATCCATGCCCCAAGCCTCCAGTTGTCTGATTAGAATGTAGCAAGACTGGCAGCAGAGTGACCTTAGACTGCTTCTAGTGAAGCCTCTGCACTTTAGCTTGTAGCGCCTGCCCTGATCAGCTAGTCTGTCAGCTCTGAAAATGAACCAGTTGAACTACACAAGATTTCTGTTCTGGTCAGAGATAATCTGCCTTTGAGATTTAGATTTTCTCCAGAATAAATAATGCTCACAAGGTATTTCAGAGTTTCCAGGTATTTCCTTTCTGTGTGCTTATGGAAGGGTATGGACAAGATCTGAGTTGCTCTTCCTATGCCAGAGTGTTAGGTAAAGGATCTTGAAATTTGAGTGACTTCCGTTAAGTCTCTATCATCACCGATCCTTTGTCAGGTACTGAGAGAACCAGATAGAGAACCTGGGTGCTGCCCACTGCTGGACCTTCCTGGAGTGGTTGTGGCTAGGCAGCTGCAGGCACTGTGCCTTTCCGGTTACTCCTCTGTTGCCTGCAGTTTTTAGTGTTTTCCTCCTGTTTGGTGTGGACTCGTTCCCTGTTACGCATACGAAGTCATCACTTTCTGCAGCACATCATTGGGCTTTCACAGTGCAAGGCAGTCATTTCTGTGAGGAGCTTTCTAGAACTTACTGAGGAAGTACCTCAGGCTGTGGAAGAGAAAGGAGAGACCGGCTTATCCATATCACTTTATTTTGCTTCATAGGAACGTGTCGTGGGCTTTCATGTACTGGGTCCAAACGCTGGAGAAGTGACACAGGGCTTCGCAGCTGCACTCAAGTGTGGACTGACCAAACAGCAGCTGGACAGCACTATTGGTATCCACCCTGTCTGTGCAGAGGTGAGTCACTCGCACTTCCCAGTTCCATTGGAGAATGCCCACATTTGCCACTCAGAGTGGCATTCTTCCAGCATTTCAGCCACTTTTCTATGTGACCGTGTGGCAGTGATTGTTAATACCCCAAAAGAAGGCTCGCCTTCTAGACTGGGGGTTCCCTTTCTTCATATTTGACAATGTCTCAACATAAGGCTCGCCTTCTAGACTGGGGGTTCCCTTTCTTCATGTTTGATAATGCCTCAACAGATACACCTTCTAGACTGGGGGGTTCCCCTTTTTCATATTTGATAATGCCTTAACAGAAGGCTCGCCTAACTAACTTTTGGCCTGCACATGTACGTGCATGTACACTCAGACATGTGCATGAACACACACACACACATACACATAATACACAAACATACACACACACAATACACACATACAATACACACATACACACAGTGTATACACACACATAAAGGCTTGGGTGTAACTTGGTAGAGTGCTTGCCTCAGTGTGCATAAGGCTTTGATTCAATCCCAGCACTTAACTGGGCGTGGCAGCATACACCTGTAATCAATCCTAGCACTTAGGTGGAGGAAGGAGAATCAGAAGTTCAAAGTCATCCTCAACTACATAGTGAATTTGTATGCAGAATAAGCTAAAGACCCCCATCTTTAAAACAAACAAAAACACAGAAAAATGCTGAGCTTCTGTTTGCTTTGCCTTTCTGTCATTAGGAATGGTATCTGTCTCTGGGTTGACTGGAAACAAACTGCTAACGTGATTCTCTAAACAGTCACAGCAGAGAGGTGCATGAGCCCTCAAAGCTGCTGTTAGTCATAAAAAAAAAAAAAAAAAAAAAAAACCTAATCTGCAAACAATTATAAAAACTAAAGAGTGTGGGATAATACTGTGTGTGTGTGTGTGTGTGTGTGTCTGTGTATATGTATGTATGTATGTATGTATGTATGTATGTATGTATGTATTTGTTTTTTTGGGGATAAGGTTCACTGTGTAGTTCTGGCTGTCCTGGAACTCACTCTGTAGACCAGGCTGGCCTCGGACTCAGAGATCCACCTCCTGAGTGGGATTAAAGGCGTGTGCCTCCACCACCACCTGGTTTAGGTGAATACTCTTTGGACGTATCTTTTATTCAGATACTCATTTATTCATGGGGAAGGTGCTGGTGAATTTTCTTTTTTTTAAGAGTATATGTTAACAGTACCACAAACAGGCTAATGTGAGAAAGCAGAAATCGGGCTGGCTAGATGACTCAGCAGTTAAGAGATTATACCCCTTTTGCAAAGAACCTGAGTTGATCCCCAGCACCCATGTCAGAAGGTTCACAACCACCAGGAACTCCAGTACCAGGGGAGCTTAGGACATCCACACGCACTTGGCATTTGCTCACATATTTTTTAGGTGATTAAAAAATTAAATAATAAAAATGTTTTTTAAAACAGAAATGTATCCCCCTACCATTCTGAGCATGCCTTCTCCAACTGCAGCATCTTCACCTTCACCAGCCTGCTTCTGTTACACTGTGGGAGATGAACTGAGGAGAACATGGGTGTAGCTGCAGTCCAGTGTTGTGGCTGTAAAGGTGGAAAAGGGGAGGGGATGGTGGTGTCTGGTTGGGGAGGCAACTATAGAAGTGTGGAGAGAAAACAACACTGAAAACCTGACAGCGAATTGGAGGAAGTGTTGCTAGGACCTCCCACTGACTGGATGTGGCTGCTACCATGTGCCAGGCACCATGCTCTTGCTGTGTTATCTTCTCTTCCTTTTCTTGGGACGTAGAGGGCAGCATTTCCTGGTGACAGTGACATTGAGGACAGGTCACAGGGCTTGGCCCACAGTTGCCTGGCCTGAGGTGTGATCTCATTCAGTAATTGCTTCTCAGTGAAGTCTGGCACATCTTTGCTTTTTAGCTTGGCTTGCACAAGTTTACTAAACTAGGAACAGTGTCCAGTGTGGACTTGACAGAAAGGCTATGGTGATAAAGCATCTAGACCCCAGCATTTGCATTTGACACTGCACCTGCTGAGTTGGTGGCTGGTCTTCTTCAGGGTCCTTCCCACACAGAAGAAACAGCTTGACTGGAAGGTTTTTGTTGCTTTGTCATCCTTGCCCGTGAATTCTACTTGATTAGAAATTAGAATTTTGCCAAATCAAGAGCTTTTCCATCTGCAGACGTCTAGAAAAGTGAAGTTTGACTTTGAAGGGGTCCTCTCTGGGGAAGGTTGCTCTGATGCCAGTAGCTGTGAGGCAGTATCCAGACATTTGCAGTCCTGAGTGCTGCCCGGTGAGGTCCCCGGGATGGTTGCTGCTGGCTTGTGAGAGAAAGGGATGGATAGAAATAGAGGAAGAATTCAGAAACTTGAGCCATTTGACAGATTAATAATGCAAAATTAGGGACTAATTTACATGCCTTTTAAAATTCATTTCCCTATTTATGTTTTATTGAATTTCACAATGTCAGTCATAGACAGATAGAAATAGTGGTTAGTTAGAAACTTGTCCTGAGCCAGTGAGAAGTGCTCTGAAATGGCCATGGGGCCAGGGCAGACTGATGGCTGCCTTACAGAGGATCACTAAATGACCTGCCTGCTGCCACAGAGAGGGACCCAGGAACCAGCATTGTTCATTGTCCCTCTCAGAGGAGTAATTACTATGAACACAGAAAGTCTCCAGTTGACACCTTGTCTTTAGGCAATACAATTTCCTTCTGGAAATTTCTGTAGGAAACCGTCTTGCTCTGACTGGAGGTCTTAGAGAAGCCCCAGTACCTGGAGTGTTAGTAATGCCTGAGTGATAGTCAGAGTGATTCTGGCTAAGTAACTTCACTTGGAGGAAAAGCTAACACAGAAAGACCATCTAGTAAGATCTCTTTAAAATGTCTAATGTCTTAAATAAGGCTGGCTGCAGCAGCTCCTGCTATGTCAGGACGAGAGAAGGAAGCGGGGGTTCCAGGCTGAGCCTGGCTTAAGCTACACACAGTGAGACCTTGTCTTTAGAAAATAAAATGACCAAGGCTATCTTAAAATGCCTCAAGAATGTTTGTTTGTTTTTAACGTTCAGTACACTCCCATTCTAAAGAGAGTGGGAACCTCATGGCTCAGCAACACGAGGTAAGACCTCATTGTACCAGTGGAAGTGTCTGGCAGCACTTCCTCTGTAGTGTCCTGTGTACTGCCCTCTGCCATCACTTTTTACAGGCAAATATTTTTGTAAAAGTTGTGAAGCAATGGTGTAAGCGTTGATACCTTTGGAAAATCAACCCTTCCATCTTTCTGTTGGTCTGGTGTCTGTGATGACTTGCTTCCCCTTTTCAGTAGCCACCAGCACAGGAAAACAAGTAACAGCTCTTTTCGTTTTCAGTGCTCCCACTCCTTGATGGCTTAGTTCTTATCCACACCTCTTTCTAAATCTTTCTGCACCCAAGAAGCAAGATGTAAGCTTGTGGGTGTTGGGAGCCAAGAGTTTATGTTCATTTTCTTGCCCATTCCTTCTCCCGTCAGTCACAAAGACCGGGAATAGCTCGTCTGATGCTGTCTTAAATTGTACACAATACCACTGTCCTGACAACTAGTTCATTATCACACATTGTCCCATCCTTATCTGTAATGTACATTTTTTAAACAAAGGAACTGTGCTCCTTTTCAGAAACAGTTGGGCTGGCTCACAGTGTGTCAGCACTGGATGTAAGGATGCTAATGAGCTTGTGGAATTCGTCGTGAATGTACTTTTTTCTGTAGTTACAAAGGGGATGACTACTTCAGGGATTTTTCATCCTTGCTAACAAAGATGAATTCCTTGTTGCAGTTCCTTTGGTTTTGAATGTGAGTTAGTCATATTTTAGGAATTGAGCTGAGGTTGTGTACTGCTGCTGGTTATAGGAAAAGGCAGTCTCGAAGGTTAAGCCAGAGCAAAGGCTTTCTCAGGGTTAGAAATCCCCTCTTGTCCAAAGGCTGCTTGATTGATTCCAGTTGCTGTGGTCCCTGCACATCAAGGTGGCCTTGATTTCCTGCTCTATTCTCATGTTAAGTAACGATGGCTCATCTGTGAAGAGCAGTATTTGAGATGCCCACAGGAGAATTGCTATGAGCCTGAAACCAGTCTGGGTGACAGAGTGAGGTCCTGTCTCAAATAAGTTAGTGTTCTAAGAACCAAGTTTTTGAAAACCAGTGAAGGTATTATTTGGCACAAAGGGTTGTCCCAGAGTATCATTGAAGATACACGCAGTTCATGTCAGCTTCCTCCAGCACTCTTCAGATACACTGTGGGCTTTGGTTCAGGAGGCGGTGCTTGGCAGGGTTTAAAGGTCCCTAGGCCTGTGCTGACATTTGAAATACTGAGAGGACAGAAACAGTCCACCATGTTGTTAGATGTGTAACCTTTGTGACCTGAGTCATTAGGGGATGGCCTGGTGATTGAACCCTGAGGACCCCCCCCCTCGAGCGCGCGCGCGCGCGCACACACACACACACACACACACACACACACACACACACACAAGAGTATAGTGAGACAGTTTCTTTGCCCGAGAGAGGCACACTGTGTTACAGTAAAGCATCAAGGTAGGGCAATCTGTAGGGGGGGACTGGGGTCTACAAGGTCTCGCTGCATCTCAGCTGTGACCAAGTAGCTACAGAACAGAACAAGGACAGGGGAGCACTGCTGTGGAGACGAGAGGAGGAAAGGGTGGGTGGAGCCAACAAGAGATGCTGCAGATGGAGGCTGTTCCCCTCTGGCTCTCCCTTCCTTCAGCCTGCGTGCTTTTCGTGGCTTTGGTCTGTATGAACTGGGGTGAGCTCTCTAGTGTGTAAGAACAAGGGTAGGGAGAATCGCTAACCACTAAATGTTTGTGCACATACAGAACTGCTTGTTTTAGTGCGCTTCCTCCTGTTATCACCCTGGAGAACTAGAGGGCATCCTTGGTGGTACTCTTCAGTCTGTCTGCTCCCTAAGTCATTTGAATGCATATGAACTCATTTGCTCTGAGCTTTGAAAATGCATGCCTTCTTACTCTTTCCTACAGATATTCACAACGTTGTCGGTGACGAAGCGTTCTGGGGGAGACATCCTGCAGTCTGGCTGCTGAGGTTAAGCCCTGGTGTGGATGCTGCCGCCAAGACTACAGGCCACTGCCTTGCTTCCTTGCCCACATCTAGGTGAAGTTCAGGCTCTTGGGCTCTTGGCGCCTGTCCAAGGTGCTGTCCTAAGGCCACCAGATGGCAGGTAGTAGGCTGCAGCATCACACTGGGGTCACCTTGACGGACTCAGACAGACATTCGGCAGTGTATCAGGGAGATACATTCATGAAGTCACCAGCCTCAAGCCCAAAGTGGTAGGCAGTGACAGATCAACTGTCGGATCTGTTCAGCTAGATCTCCCCTTTAGGTTGTGTAATCTTGTTTTCAAGCTGTCTTATGTCAATTCTAGTTTTCTTTTTTTCTCCATGGGGTCAGTGATACTAAAGCTAGGGAATGTTAGCAATCAGTTTTGTCTAAAAGCATGCCGTGGCTGGATAGCCACAGTCTTACTGTGTGGAAGGGGGATGAATTCATTTATGAAAGCCACACACGTTTGTCCTGAGAAAGAGCAATTACCCTATGACTAAAATACACTGTTCATTTTACTGACCTGTGTAGCTTCGTCTCTTTTAATAAGTCATATGTCCAAAACAAGAAAAACCATAGTCCACTTTTTGCAAGTTTCCCCACTGTGCACATTGCTGAAGCTGCTTAGGAAGGGAGGTGGCGACTTGGCCAGCGTTCTTGACCTCCATTGCATGGCCCTCGAAGTAGTGTAGATTGTTGCCAGCACAGAGGCCAATGAACAACAAATGTCTTTCTTAATACAGTTGTTGTCCTTTGATCTGAGTAGAGATTGTTTGCAATGGAAAACAATTTGCTTTAAACTTCTTGTTTTTGTAAGGTGGATTTAGTTTTAAGCTTCTGTCCCCTGAGAACTACATTCATAGACAAGTCGCTTTTTCCAGACATAGCATATAACTCTTCTGAGGTAATTACTTTTGTAAGGAAGCTGTTCATAACATAAGTTATTATTATTATTGAACGCAGGTGGATGTGAAGGATTTTTATTGAAAAACCAAATGGTTTTTCCTTTTTCTGTCGAATGAACCCAATGATTTGTCTCCTGGGTTATGTGACTGTGAACACGCAGGCTGAGGGCTGTGTTCGCACCACCTCTCCCACTATAAACAGCCATCCTGGCCCTGTAGCCCCTCTTGTCCTCACCTGTAGCACTGAGTGGTGTTTCACAGTACACTTCTGGGCCACCTCAGGGAACGTGTGTTTGCCTAGTGTTCAGCCAGCAGCACTGTCCCTGCCCCACAAGGCTCCCTCATGACCTCCTCCCATCAGCTTATGTGAAAACAGTAGGAAGAGGAGAGAGGATGGAACAGAGGGAGTTGACTCTGTTCAGTTTTATTTATTTATTTTTTAAAACTTTTCACCCAAGTCTGCCAGTCTCTGAGATTAGAACGACGGTGTAGGGTTAACTGTGCCTAATCATGTTGTGATTATCTTAGTGGAATGGAATGTTCTGCCCCCACGAGAAGGAATAGTCTTCATTGTTTATATTCTGTAATCGCACAATGTACTGTAACTCCAATTCCAATTCCATGTATTTTTGTTACAAATTTTCTGGGGAAAAAATGTGAAACAATAAAAGGTGTTCATGCATGTGTGTCTTCTTATTGAATGATGGTTTGGGGTCAACTTCCCAGGTTTTCACTTCTCAGCTTCCAGCAAAAGGCCTGGCACTTTAGAGGTTGGTGTAACTGGCTCGGCAGGTAGGTACAGCTTGGATTAGGATCCATGGGAGGTGGCTTCAGAAGAAACTGGGTAAGGAACCACCATCCTCTAAAGTGTAAGTGTGTGCCTGAGAGGTCCACCACCACTGCTGCCTGCTGTTTGAAAGGCCTTGGCTGGGTCAGGGCTGCCCAGACAGCTAACAGGATGTTTACTCTGCGTGTGTTAGAGCGAGCATGTGTGTGCGCGCATGTGCATGTGTGCGTCTTAGCACTGGATGAGATGCAGTAGGGTTCCTCTCTCCAGTGGGTGGCTACCCATGCAGTCCCTTGAGGCCCCACATTGAGCTCTGAGAGTAGATTTGACCTTTCCCTAGGTTGGGGGTGGGGCGGGGCTGCTAAAGCAGATAAGGAACAGTGGTGGGTGGGTACCTGTGTGGCTGTGCAGAGCTGACAGGATTGAGGATTGGGTGTTGACGCCAGGCTTAGCCGTGGGTACTTTTAGTTCCAGCACTGAAAGGCTGAGGCAGGCCCATCTCTTGGGAATGAATTTGAGGCCTGATTGGTCCACTTAGTGAGTTCCAGGCCAGCTAATGAGACTCTGTCTCAGAAAACCGTAACAAAAAGATGGAATGTTATGTTGCTTGAAGGGACCAAGGGTGGCTGCTTGTGCTGGCATCTGAAGAATCAGAAGGACAGAAGGTGGAGATGTCATTTCAGAGATATCTGAGGTGTGTAAGGCCTACAGGCAGAGGTGCCAAGTGGACACAAGCCAGGACCTGTTCCAGAAAGGCAGAGTAAAGGGTTGAATAAAGGTCAGAGTTTAAGCCTGGAGGGGTGTTTACAGTCTTGGTGATGGAAGGTCCTCCAGGGCACTAGTGCAGAAGGAAGAAACACTTCTAAGAGCCATAGGGGTTTGAGAGAACAGGGCCCCAAGAGGATTCCTGCAGACCCTTCTGGTAATGAAGGTTGGAGGCTCCTGAGGAGCAAACTCAAGGAGAGAACTTTCCAGGCTTGCAGACAAGCGGGAACAAGGTAGTGGCAAGGGAAGTTTGTTAAAGCTTGGAAGCAGCATGGGAGCGCAGGATCCCCACCGAAGGCACTGGGACACAGGCAGGTGCTCACTCTGCCTGGGGTGAGAGCTACATTTCCTCTGCCTCACCCCAGTCCCTTCCCTGGGTGACTGCTGCTTAGTTTTCATTGTCAACTGGACAGGAACTAGAGAACAATTGAGCTATCTAGATTAGGACCAGTCCACTGTGGGTGATGCTATCCCTGGGCAGATGGCCCTTGAAGTTAGCTGAACTAGACAAACTCGGCAAGTCAGTAAGCAGTGGTTCTCCATGGTGTCTGCTTCAGTTCCTGTTTCCAAGTCCCTGACTGACTTCCCTCAGTGATGGACTGTTAGCTGGAAGTGTGAGTTGAAATAAACCCTTTCCTCCCCAGGTTGGAAAAAGGGTTTCATCACAGCCAGCTTTGGGTACAGTGCATTCCCCCATCAGTCCTGACCCAAGCGCCAGAGGTTTGAATTCCAGCTCTGCCTACTGGTGGATGGCCAGGGCTGGAGTCTCTCTGCCTGACTTCATTCTGCCTCGGTCCCTCATCTGTAAGATGTGAGCCCGTACCGGGCAAGCTAGCAGACAGATCACCTTTTGTTGAGCAATGAACTGGAAGTTGAAGGAGCAAAGCATTGCACTGACATCCCGGTCTTGGCCTTTCTCCTGTCTGGGTCTTTCATAGATGCCTGAACTTGCCCAACTAGTGCTCACAGCAATTCCAAGCTCATGTAGGAATTTCACACTTTCTTTGGGCTGAAAAAGCACACGGTGACATATCATAGATTGTATTGCTCCTTTATCTTGTTTCCATGACAACTGCCCCTTTCCAGTTTTCCTGCATCTCTTGCTGGTTTGTATCTACTATATGTCATCCTTCCAACATCCCTTTACATTGTTTATTCTGATCAAATTGCATAACAACCCGAAACGTGCTGCTGTGTGCTCACTCCTTTAACTCTCAGGGTCTGGGAAGCTCAACAGGGGCTGCCAGAGAGAAGGTGGGAAAGTGGCTACAGGAAGGTTCTTAGGGCTACACAGTGAACCAAAGTCATGAGCATTGTTAATACCATGAACAAAAGGCCCAGCATTTGACAAAGCCTTAAACAACTTTTTAAAAAATGCTTCAGAAGGTGACCGTGCAAATCTGACAGTTACCGTGGCCTGATCTTTAAATGCCTACACAGTAGGATCTCAGCCTATTGAGTCACAAGGATCCAGTTCCCATACACTTGTAGATGAGCCCCTTTTACTGTGGGCCAGTGTTTGGAGTGTGCTGAAAGATGGCAAGAAATACACAGGCACAGCAAAGTTAAGACCACAGATGGGGGAGCCTTATGCATGGTAGCCTGGAGGCACTCAGTCACCAGCCAGAGCTCACTGTGACCATCTGTGGCACAGGTGACTCCTGAGCCCAAGAGATGGCCTGCCCCCTGGTGTCTGCCCTGGGAGCAACAGGCTAGCCCCTACCTGATGTCCTGTGTGTTTTATAAGGACAGAGCTGTAGGGAGCCGTCCCTGCATTCTCCATTACAATGATGGTGCCTGCAGGCACTGAATGTAAATTATTGCGCAGGCGCTGGGTAATTTTCCATTTCCTTGATCTCTGCCTATTCCGTGGCTCATATGGCCTGAGGAGCTGAAGCCCAGCCTTTATTAGGGGACGGGATTCTTGGCTCGGGGTCTCCGCTCTGGTAAGCTTATGCTCTCCTCTCAAGACGCATTAAAGCTTTCCTGCAGAAGGATCCGAATGTCCTGTGTGGTTCTTGCTGGCGAGGCCATAGCGTGGGACACAGAGCAAGGATGCCAAGCCACTAACCCACTAGTCCATGACTGGATTTCTTGTGAGGACTGAACCCTCACTGCCCCCCACCCCAGCCACCTCTCAAAGGTCCCACCAAGGGATTGGCAAGATGGCTCAGCTGGTAAATATATCTGCTACCAAGCCAGCTGACTCTGAAAGGGAATAAAGGAACTCCCTCAAGCTGTCCTCTGACCTCACACACTTGCCCCTCCTCCCTGCACACACACAACTTAATTAATAAAAAGTGTAAAGGTCCAACACATTCCACTTCTGTTACTTTCCGTGTGTGTGTGTGTGTGTGTGTGTGTGTGTGTGTGTGTGTGTGTGTGTGTGTGTGTGTGTGTGTGTGTGTGTGTGTGGTTGTATTTGTGGTCATATGTGTATGAATCTGGTCCACACATGCATGTGTGCCATAGCACATGTTTGAAGGTCATAGGACAACCTTGGGTGTTGGCCCTCATCTTCCACCCTCTTTGGCTACAGTGTTTCCTGTGACCTGCCACTGTGAGCACCAGGCTTACTGGCTGGCTCTTGAGCTTCCTGATACTCCCCTGCCTCAGCCTTACTGTAGGAGTTCTGGGATCACAGGAATGCACTGCCATGTGTGTCTAGCTTTGAAGCAGGTTCTAGGAACTCATCCTCATGCTTGCATGCAAACCTTTACTACTGAGTCATTCCCCTGCCTGCATTTCAGAGATGGTTCGCTTTGTGGTCACCATTTTTGAGCCACACATACACATGGGCACATGTCACTCTGAAGTCCAGCTTTAGCTCTCTTGAAGGGGACCCTATAATACTTTCTAAACAGCTAGCCAATTGTTTACTGTTTTATAGGGTCTTTTGGGCGAGCTGTGAAAGGCCCCATTACATAGGGGCTTCTGGAACTTTCCATCTCCCCACCTCCGAGTGGAAAGCATTTTGACCTGGCAGTTATTTTTGGCAGACACCAGCTGCCCTCAAAAAGGGCCCTCAGTGCAGAGTGCCCGTGGCAAGCCAGTTGCTGGAGTCTGTGGGTGAAGCTGTAAACTTTGGACCCTAGGCAGCTCCAGGGAGTTGTGTTTCCTTCTCTGTTCCTTCTCACTTCCTCTCTCCCAAGCCTTGACTAACAGCCAGGGTTTTGTGTGCTTCCCCAGGTCTGTGGGGACTGTGGGGCATAGGTCTGTGTGGTTGTCTCTCTGACATGCTGTTCTGTCCCTGCAGAAATGCTGCCTCCACCACCACCCCCAGCCCCAGCACCCTGCTATGGCTGACATAGACCACCTTTGCCTATCCCCACACTGCCCCTTACAGCGGGCCTCCATCCCGTATGAGACTTTGCTTTCTGTGAAGGCTGTGGGTGTCCTGTCTGGGCTTGGTAGGTTACTCATGGGTTTGTCTAGGCTTTACTTTGCCACACAAAAACAGACCTCCTGGGAGGTCTGACTGGGCCTGATCGGCACTTGCTCCACCCACCTAGGTAATGAAGGTGCAGATTGCCCAGGCCACCATGGCAGACAAGCCATTTCAGGCCACTGAGAAAAACGCCATTGTAGCTCTTGTTGGCTAGCCTTCCATCCAAATCCCTGGGTCTTCTATGGTGGCTAGAGGATTCTGAGCATTGGCTCTCTATGTTCTCTTGAGCCATCCTGGCATGGCAGGAAAAGATGTGACAATCTAGTCCTTAGCACCAGGCAGGGACAGTCTGAGCATCCTGCATGCTTTGTCCTTTGTCATCTCTGCAGCTCTGGCTCATGTGTGTTCCTTACCCAGGAAAACACTGAGGCCCGAAAAGGCCAAGCCGCTAATGGGGGTCGCCAGGCTGTCAAAGGTCACGTCACAAATCAGACACAGATCCAGTTTCCTTCAGAGAAGGTGACTTTGTCCTTATCCTGTACCTACCTCCTCTGTTCCCCTAAGCCAGTGTCCCTTGCAGGAGCTGTGACTAACTCTTCAGGGTCCACACCTCCACAAACCCAAACCGAAAGCATTTGGAAACAGCCTGATTTATTTTATTTTTATTTTCTCATTTCATGTGCTGTGGTGTGTGTGTGTGTGTGTGTGTGTGTGTGTGTGTGTTTTCCAGGCTATTGAGTACCTAGAGCAAAGG